GAATGAGAAAATAAACAAGAAGAGAGATTACAATAGTGGTTGGAGGAGAAAGAAAAGAAACAAAAAGAGAAATTACAGCAGTTGTTGGAGGAAAAAGAGAAGATACAAGAAGAAAGATTACAGCAGTGGTTGGAGGAGAAAGAAATGAAACAGGAAGCAAGTCTCCAACAGTTGTGGGAAAGTCAGCAACAGTGGCAAGAAGTACAAATGAAAAATATTAGTAAATTTCAAAGTGAATTAGATATATTAAAGGATGATTTACTGTCTTTTACACAGGGAGGATATATTAGCCATGGACCTAATCAGCCCCAGACAACAAGAAGCCCCTTCCAGACCCTGCAGCTAAACTTTAATTCAGACATCTTCAATCCTGCCAGAAGTCACATTCCAGACATGAGTGTCAGCAATAGGGGTGATCTAGTACGAAGGAAGCCAGAGGAATTTGATGGGAAAGCACCGTGGAAAGCATATAGGGCACAATTTTAGTTCCTGGCAGAAATGAATGGATGGACAGAGGAGCAGAAAGCAGTGTACCTGGCAATGAGCTTGAATGGACAACCACTGGACATACTTGGACAGTTGTCAGCAGACGACAGGCACAACTATAGAGCACTGGTAGCTGCTCAAGAACTCAGGTATGGAACTCAAAATCAGTCTGAAGTCTACAGGACTAGGTTTAGGACTAGAATCCATGCTAAAGGGGAGAGCCTGCAAGAGCTGGCACAGGACTTGGAAAGCATGGCACACAAGGCCTACCCAACTGCACCACCCAACGTACTCAAGCTGTTGCTGAGGGATCAGTTAGTAGACGCCTTGGACAGTCCACTACTGAAGATACAAGCAAAGCAAGCACACCTCTCTACTATGCAGGATGCAATGGCTAGAGCTCTTGAATTCGAATCCTATGTTAAGTTCAGGACAGAGGTACCAAGGTTAGTACTGTCATCAGGATTCAAGGCCAGAAAAGGGCAGCTCTCAGAGAAGTTTGAGGGACTTTGCTGGCACTGTAACAAACCTGGTCATAAGAGAGCTCAATGCTGGCAACTTCAACACAGGGAAGATGCCACAGCAGGAAAGGCTGCTACCCAGAAAGGTTGTTGGAACTGTTGAGAGCAAGGACATATGAGAAGCCAGTGTAAGAAGAACACTACCAATAAGTCAGCCTTGGGGAAACCAGTAGTGGTTGGTGCTGAGGGACGTCCACCAAACTCCATTGTGAAAGTCCCAACAGCTAGGTGTAAAATGGCAAGCACATATAGTGTCTACGTGAAAGGAAAGCTGGATGGCCAAAAGTGCAACTTTGTCATAGATTCTGCATCTCGG